ACAGCCATATGCTCTGAGTGTCCCTAAACCTCTGACTGCCAGAAGTTGGGACTGGATGGATGACACCCAATTGTGCAACTCAGTAGAACTCTTCCCTATTTCACAGCTGGGAAACTAAGCAGAGAGGCTTCTCCAAGACACTCTGGCAGACCGGAATTAGCCCCCCAGAGTTGCTCGCTCCCACTCCTGTGCTCAGAATACTGTACCTCTCCAACAGGATTTACAACCTGTATGTTCAGCAGGTTTATGGTAGCAATATGGAAACGAAGTTATGACATAACTTTATTTTCACACGGAGTCCTTGGTATGATTGTTTGAAAGCCAGCTGTGGCCCGTAGATAAAATTCATCCCTGCTCTAAACAAGCACAATCCCATTGTCCACAATGGCGTTTCACTCACTTAGATCACAGATGAATTTGGCCCCATAAATGCCTGGACACCAGCAGCCCTCTATTTACCCTAGGCAGATTGAGTGGCCAGTTGGTAAATTACTGGTATGGATTTGAACTAGTGACCAAGAACTGACAGATGCAAGATCCTGTTACCAATCCTTCGAAATGTCCAACCCTCTCTCATGGGCGATTGTTTGGCATTTCTTGGCACACTGTCCAAGAAAATTACCCATCCGGTCTGTACTCCGAAGGCCCTGAAACGTGTGTTTCTGTAGTCATGAACAGTCTGCTAGTTGGTGAAAGCTGGGCATGACTTTTCCTGAGTCGGGCCCTTAAGGAAATATTTGCTCAGCTTCCCCCCAGCTGTAATGCCTGACTCCCACCATGCTCTGAGGGCTTTCATCCTGAAATGAGAGCAAAGCAAATGCCTGAGATGCCTTGTGCAGGTTTCTCATTAAACAGGCACATAGTGCTAAGCAACAGCTTTAGTTGAAATGGAAATGGGGGGCAGTGGGTGATGACAAATGCAGCTTTGTGGAGAATTTACGCTATCTTTGTGACACTGAGCTGTCAGGTTTTAGCAGAAGAGTTGCAAATTCTCTGCAAAACTCCCTGGACAAGGACTGGGGGAGCTTTTGATCCAAAATCCTTCTTTCAGGGTGAAAAGATCTATGACCAGACTAAATCATCATGTTACAAAAGTAACTTGGCCTTGGTTACACAAAGGAACCATTCAGTCAGAGCAGAATGACCCAGTTATGGATTCTGGGACAGAGTTATTTTCATTTTTTTTTTTTTTTTTGACCAAAGAGAGTTGAACCATTTGATTGAAACAACCTTGCGATTCTAACTTTTCGCGCTGGGGCAAACATTGGAAAAAGCAGCCGCCGGCTTCCCCTCTGCCCGTAACTTTCTGAATTCCCATTCTCAGTTTATTAAAAAAACTATTAATAGAACTATTTACTATTGTAACAAATCCATAACTATGAGCTCTCCCTGTGGTGCACAGACTAGCCAATTAGTACTTAATAAGGACAGAACTCAGATCCTCCGGCTCCACCAGCCAAAGGCCAAGGTTCTCAAAAATCAGAGTGACACATTCTGGCCCTGTCGCAGTCACTGGGAGTTTTGCCATGAACTTTATTGGGGCCAGGATTTCACCTTACATGCCTAAAGTTAGGCTCCTAAATCTCTATTTAGGCTCTCAAGTGGCCTAATTTTCAAAATGTCTGAGAATCCAGCAGCTCCCGTTGAGCCTGGTGCTCCATACTTTTAAAGATCATTTACTTAGGAGCCTAACTCTAGGCTCCAGGTTTCATAATCTTGGTCCAGATTCTCATTATTTAACTACTAAAGGAGAATCGCTATTAGCTGCTAGCAGTATAGGGCATATGCTATAAAGTTTAACCATTCTGATTCCATTAAGCAGAAAGGGATGTAACACACACATGGATGCCAGCTCAATGCAGTATTAATACAAATCTCCATCCCCCACCCCTCTCAGAACATGGCATACATAAAAAGTTATCCATCAAAGGCATGATCGTCTATTTGCAGGAAATGATTGATACCTATTTCTATCATAGATGACAACAGCAGCCGTTGTCCGCCAGGTCTATATACACAATCCAGGGTACTGCCGTTGTGCTTCATTGCCTTCTCGTGGCCCAGTGCATCGCTGGGATAGCAGACTAGGAGAACCACAGTAAGCTGTGTGCTGGGGAGCATACATGCCCCGTAGGTTCCCATGGTGATCGTGAGCTCCCTAGCTCCTGGCACCCAGTGACAACTTGTCAACCGAATACTGTGTCAGTTCAGTATGTTCTCCATGCACCCACAGAACAATGACCATGTGTTGACGGTCTCTCTAAGCCTGCTGCCCAGCCCCTTTTACCATTGCCCTTTTCATTCCTCTTCCTTCAGTGGCAGGAAGAGCTCCTGCCAAGACCCAGGTTCAGGGATTTGTGTTCCGTGTGATGCCACAGTTGACCACAAACGCAGCAGGCTGTACAGCCTCCTGCTCTATTAATGATGGCAAACCTGACCTCTGCTTTCAGGAGGTAAGGAAGGGGGCAGAAGTGGATCTATGGTTTTGCAATGATGCCATCAAGCCCCACAGATGAAAGGTGCTGTAGCAGTATAAAGGATTGTTGTCAATGCAAAAATGTCAGTTAACTGGAGCCTCCTGGCCTCATGGGTGGAGACTCAATTATGTCCCAGTTTTTTCCTGAGAGATGGAACCCAGCCCCAGCAAAGGCGATTCCAGTCATGACCTCGCTTCTCTTCCCAGAAACTGCACCTGGTGTTTGCAGTTTCTTTCTTTGGTAGATTCTGCTTCCGCAAAGCTTTTCGAGGATAGTGTGGGAAGGGGAGAGAGAGATCTTCAAGGAGCCTCAGTGGCCAAGATAGTCCTAGATTAGCATTTGTCTTTACTTGTTAGCTGGCTGGTTGAGTGTGTGGTAAAGCTGTGCAACTTATCATTTTCCCCATCTCACCAGTTGGTTTCTCTCCATTTAAAAAAGCCCTATATTGGGCTCTGGGTTAGCTTTAATTTTACATGACACAAAGCAAACAGATACCAAGAACTTGCCCATAAAGTGTACAATATCTCAGTGGAGTGTAAGAAAACGAGTAAGGCACACTCCTGATCAGTATAGACGAGATTCAGCCCAAGCATCAAGCACTGAGGAATGATTTAATCGTGATAGGTTGGAGGGCATTATATCTTTAAATCAAAGAGTTGAAATAGATTTTGTGGTCTCTATGAAGTGGTGTTCGGATCCTTCCACTATTGAAGGATTATTTTAATGGCTAAGGTTACTAGTAACACACAGAACGCTGACAGGGCTATAAAGCGTTTCCTACATTAACATGTACAGGCTATATGTTTTCCCTGAGAATGCTACCACATGAAGTAGAAAGAAGAAGCAAACCAAACTCCCACAATCGATCCAGTCACACACATGTCCTGTCCCACTTCAGATGCATTAGTAAGAGTGGGCTGGATTGCGTACCTCATTTCACTTTGCCATTGTGGCTCTGTTGTAGGATGTGCCATCTGTGGGATCATAATTGACTGCAATGTGATTTAATTACAGTCATGGGTTTTTTTCCACCTAGGATGAAGAAAGTAATTTGATGATTTAAATCTTCCTTTGGCATAAAGGTTTTTTTCTTCCCCCTCCCCTCGGAAAACTCTAAAAGAGAGAGAGTGCAAAGTATTTTACTTATTATCATAGATACATGCTGTAGAATCTCATGCATTCTCCTGTTTGCCAACCCCAAACCTAATCATTCTCACAAATCTCGCTTTACCTCACTTGTCAGCAAAGATTTAGTGGGGCGAAATCTCCTAAGGCTTCATTGACATTATGGAATGTTTACTACAGAGATTTATCACAAATAATCAAAATTGACACAATTGTCAAAGTACATTTGCGGATGCAGTAGCCTTTTTAAAATAGCCTCTTTGTTCGTTTACTGAATCACAAAATTTAGTACTCCTGACTGAGGGCTCGTCTCCACTAACCGGGGGATCGACATGCGGCGATCGATCCACTGGGGGTCGATTTAGCAGTTTTAGTGAAGACCCGCTAAATCAACCGCCAGTTGCTCTCCCGTCGACTTCGGTACCCCACTGGAACGAGAACCATAAGGTAAGTCGATGGGAGAGTTTCTCCCACTGACCCAGCGCGGTGTAGACACTACAATAAGTCAACCTAAGATATGTCAACTCCAGCTACGTTATTCATGTAGCTGGAGTTGCGTAACTTAGGTCGACTTTGCTCCGTAGTGTAGACCTGCCCTGAGTCTCCCAGTCATTGGTGCAAATCAATGAGGAATGTAATACTGTGTATGGCATATATGAGAATCTTCTATTCTTTTCCAGTTGTTCTCCCTTTATATGCAAAACAAAGTCCTAAAGATTGCAGTATCACTATTTCAAGCGGTAGTGGTTTGGACAAGTACTGCAGAATACAATTGTTCATGATAATAGAGAACCCTCCTGTGTTTTCCACTTTCAAGGTCAGAATTGTCACTGTGCCAAGGTTATGGCCTGATTCTTTTGCTATTCCAAATATCAGGAGTTCTAGGCCAAATTGCAACGTGGACTTCGAAACTCACTGTCTTTGTAGTTTGGTTGCCTGTTGCCACTTGTTTCCAATTTATGCCAATGTTTCTCCTCTGAAACTCAGTTCTGTGGAATGGTAAAATTGCACCTTTGGCATGCATGGAATTTGCTTACTTTATTCCGTGTGTCAGCAGTGCTGAGCACTGTACATTTTAAGGTGAATAGCTTACTTGGGGTTCGAAGAGTATCCTTACTCACACTGGGTGAAATCTTGCCATGGACTTCACTGGTGCCCATGACTCCCCATGGCAGGAGTGGGGCCAAAATTCCATGCATGGTACAGTACTTTACTCTGCAATCGGTTCATTCATTTCAATAGAACTATTCATGGTGTAAGGTGATTACAATCTGGCTCTTGGTTAAGACCCAAATATCTGATGGATAATTGTCCAGTTATCTCAAATGAGTGCTGACAGTAGCAATTTCAGTGTGTGTGTGTTTGTTTTTTTAAAATCATTCTTCTTTCTTTGTCTAGTTGGAATCAAGATGACGACAGCTGCACCACTGGGCAATAATACCTTGTCTCCAACAAATGTGACCACAAAGTCTCAAGAAGAAATTCTTTATCAGAGTAAGAAAAATATTGCGACAATGGATATATTTGAGTTGCATTTTAAACGCCATGTGTCTGGGGAAGATTTTGAAAAGATGTCTGAAAACATTCCCATGTACAAACATTGTTAAACAAGGGACTTATATAAAACTGCCACATCACCCTTTGAAAATTCATCCTCCTAAAGATAATCAACATTAAATAGAATAAAATGGATTTCAGTGAGCTTGTTTTAAAAAAGTGTGGGTCTTGAAGGTCCTGTTTAAATGCAATTGTACTAGATTTTTGATGTGTGTTTTGATGCTTTCAGCTATTAGACACTGGCTACTTGAAATAAGGAAAAAAGTCTTCTGTTACTTATAACTTATTTTTTATTAATTGTTTTTATTAAATCTAATTTATTCGACATCATTTGCTAGTCTTGCAGAATTTACTAGCCCAGGCACAAAGTCTAGTCATCTGCCCTCTGGTAGGAAGATTATAATGAATAACTTACGATACGTAGAGCCCGATCCTCCAAAGACTTAGGTATGCGCTTAACTTTCTGCCCAGCAGAGATCATAACCTCATTGTGCTGGGCATCACACAGATTCTTGGGGTGTGTCTACACTGCAGCTGGGAGCACTAGCTCTGCCCCAGAAAGTGCTAAAAATAGCAGAGTAGCCAGGGATAGCACAGGTGGCAGCTTGGGTTAGCCGCCTGAGTACAAACCCACCTTGGACCCGGGTGGTTAGCTTGAGCCACTACTCACGCTACGCTCGGCTACACTGCTACTTTTAGCTATCGTGTGTCCATCTGCCCAAGCTGGGAAGCACACTCCCAGCTGCAGTGTAGACGTACCCACACTAAGAGCGTGTCTACACTTCCCTCCGGAGCGAAGGTAGTGAAGACGTGATAAATCGACTGCTGAGTGCTCTCCCGTCGACTCTGGTACTCCACTGGAGCGAGAAGCCTAGGCGGAGTCGATGGGGGGAGCGGCAGCAGTCGACCTACTGCAGTGAAGACACTGCGGTAAGTAGATCTAAGTACGTCGACTTCCGCTACATTATTCACGTAGCTGAAGTTGAGTAACTTAAATCGATTCTCCTCCTCTCCCCTCCCCCCCAGGATAGACCAGACCTAAGGTAGAGTTCCTGCCCCAAAAAGTTTACAAATGAAAGAGAGGGTGGAAGGGAACACAGAGGCACAGAGAAGGGAAGTGACTTGCCCAAGGTCATATAACCGGTTGGGCAGAGCCACAGGTCTCCTGAATCCCCACACACTGGACCAGACTGTCTCTCAATGGGTTTGTTTACGTATTTTATTTCCTTCAGCAAGGATGAGGAAAACAGACCAGTCAGTTTGTTTTATTTCTAGTCAGTTTTACTCTCTAGTTCTTAAGCCCTAATTCAGTGCCACAACGTTTGGAGTTAAGCCTTTGCCTGCAGAGTTTGCACCTCAGACCACCATTTTTCCTGAATTAAAAATAAAAATGAAAACAAGTTTTGGAAATCTTTTTCTCTTTAAGCATGCAACTTAAATTAACCGGGCAAAGTCTTGTTGGAACAATACAATACAAGCTATTTAAACAAAATATACTCAGTCTTTTTTTCCCCTCACTCGTAGGTTCCGGAGCAATCGTAGCTGCCATCGTAGTTGGAGTGATTATTATATTCACAGTGGTTCTGCTCATGTTGAAAATGTATAACAGGTACATGGCTTTGTTCCTAATTTCTTTTATGTAGCTCAGGTTAGACAAGATAAACCAAAATCACTGCAACGTGCTTAGAATTTCTCAGGTCTACGCTGTATTATCTCGCAGGCCATTTCAAGGACTTAATTGCCAAAATTCCAAGGACTAAAACTACAGTACACATTCCTGATTGTTCATTTGAAATTTCAGACATCATAACCATTCTCTCTTGCTACCTTGAGGATCTTGTCTTTTTCTGTTCTTTCCACTCCGCTAGCACTGGTTTCCTTGCTGTTCTGCCTTCTCCTCTGCACCTCCTGTATCTTCATGTCTCAGCCACGCTTTCTGATATCTCAAACTTCAGAACAAAACATTTTAAATTCCTTTTGCATATGCCTCTTGATGTCTCTCTCTCTCCTTCTGCTATCCTGCTGTATTTAAGTCTGTATAAACTGTTTTAGATGCAGTTTTCATGAAAGACTCTACAAGAAACAGAAATGTAACTTCCCCGTCCTCCTACTTCCTAGTTCCATTTCCTTTCCCTCTCATCCTGATTGCTGGCCCTTCCTGGCCTTCCTGCTCCATGTGCTCTGTGTAGCACAGCAGCAAACTGAAACTGACCATAAATCAGGTTAGTTTCATTTTGCTCCAAGCAGGAGAGTCCAAGTGGATTTGTCAGTTTTTACATTGTTGCTTTCCAAGACACAAAAAGTGTAAATGAATGCAAGTCTGGCAGAGGCTTTTTGCATGCCAGCTCCAGGCTTTGTCTACCATTTTCTGGCATATGCTGCCCTCTGGTTACCTGCTTCTTCCAGATGAGGCAACTTAAGTGAACCAGGTCATCTTCATGAATCCTGAAGGAGTTTGTGTCTTCAGTTGTCTTTTTGTACCTCTGGTGGCAGAAGCCTGCTGCCTTTTGTCTCAGTGGAGGATACAGATGCCCACATGGTAGACAGGGCAGATGGGCTTCCTGTTTGCTTTCGGGGCTAATTATCTATAAATCCCTAAATGACCTGGGTCCTGGCCTAAATTTTTGGAACTAAAAAATGTATTTGAAAAATGGCCTTTTTCAAAAAGTAAAATCTTTGCAAAAACTTGACTTTAATTTTTTATGACATGTATTCAAATTTTTTCATTCAGCAATAAAATAAACTTGTAAAAACTGGGGGTGGGGTGGAATCCATTTCATACCCTGCAAAACAGTAACAACTTTGCAAATTTTTCAAAAAACAATTTACTCATTTTTTCAACCTGCTGTACTGGTCAGTTCTCCTCTTCCCCATCCCCCAGAGCAGTTAGCCAGCTGTAATGCCTTCACTGTCTGTCCTCAAGGAGAAAAGGAGTACTTGTAGCACCTTAGAGACTAACAAATTTATTTGAGCATAAGCTTTGCTCAAATAAATTTGTTAGTCTCTAAGGTGCCACAAGTACTCCTTTTCTTTTTGCGGATACAGACTAACACGGCTGCTACTCTGAAACCTGTCCTCAAGGATTAACTCTTGGGAGCAGGCAGCAGAAGATTCTTGATGTTGGACCCTGTTCTTTGGAACTCATTGCCCAAGTTTAGCAGAGTGGGGCAACAGAAAGCTGCTTATTCTGACATTTTCGTCGCAGAAAGTGGAGTAGGGTGTAAATCTTAAACTCTCATCACCACACTGAACCATTAGTAACACTGGGTTTCAATTAAAATCTTGGGATGAAATCTTGGCTCCGTTGACTAAAATGGCAGGGATTCCCAATGACTTGGGAGCGGCCAGGATTTCAACCTTGATGTTCAACACACCATGATTCTTGCCATTTTTCCCCAGACAGTACTTAGAATGGTAAAGGCCATTCCCGGACAAGTAGGAAACGATGAGGAAATTTTAATTTTAATTTTTCTTTACAGACGCATGAGGGAAAAACGAGAGCTGGAACCCACAAGCATCAAAGCCAAGACCCCACCTGCTTTTGGACAGAACAGTAACAATGCTAACCGACCCACAACAGTAGCTATCATACCCGTGGACATCCATATGCAGAACAGATGACTGTGGACCTTGGCCCTACCTATAGGAGATCACTCTCCTTGAAGAATGAGACTTGACAACCAGACTTTGTTCACATAGACCTGTGACTCTTTACCAGAGGAGGATTGGCACTGGAATAGTGACTATGCGTGGAGTTGAAACCAAGGATTATGTGGGTAACTGGCCACGTTTTTTCTTTTATTAGAAGGAAAAAATAAAATGCTGAGCACCTTTGTATGGCTGATCTAACAATGTGATGGCATTATATCAGCAGGAACATGAAAAGTCTTATTTTCTCTGTAGAAGTTAAGTGGCAACAAGTGGCAAAAATGCCCTTTAGATGGGTCAAAAGATGCACACTCCTTTATTTACAGTGTCCTTGATGAGTCGTGAGCAGTTTGGTGGGCTTTCTTTTCCTCTCCTGCAGTGATCAGTAGTGAAGAAAATGAAAGATCTGGATGTAAAGGCTACAACTATGCTTCATTCTTGGATTTGTTATGCTTGTATCTTTTTATATTTTTAGCATGAGGAATAACATGTGAAGTAACAAAACTGTATTTAGACTTCACTGGCCTTTCTGATTCCCAATCAGATACATAGACGTGGATTCAGATAAAACAGGGTATGAATGTGATATGCTTTAAAAAAAATTTTGATGTGTTCTAGCAACTTGACAGAGTTTGAATCCAGCTGAATCCCTCTCTTCAGGGATTTTAACTCAGCAGCCATATTTATGCTGGGTTCTCAGTTTGGGAGCACTTATTTATTTATTTTTCTACAAATGATGGGATTGGGAGAAAAATTAGTTCTATTTTTAAATTAGAAGAGGTTCAAACAGGAAGAGAATGAAAAACTAGTGATATTTTGTGTGGGTGGGTCTGCTTTTCTTTAAAGATAGACTTTAAAAAACAACTGAAATGTTGCAATCCATAATGTAGATTACAGACTTTGGCTTTTTTTTTTTTGAGAAAAATAAATTTTAAAAGCAACCACAAGCTATTTGGTTTTGCATGAGTGACTGTTGTGGGTGTGCAGTAATTCAACAAAAATTTCCCAAGGATTTTTTCACAGGCCCACTGGGTGCACACACAGAAGCTGCATTGTTACACTCTCTATGGACTATTGTTTCCATGATCTACATGTTAAAGCGTCCCTAAACATTAGCTAACAGAGTAGACAGCAATGGTTCAGCAGAAGGCAGTGTAGCCTACTGATCTAATAATTCACCTTGTGCAAAAGCCCCTATATAGCGATGCACATCATTGACCCCATCCTTCAACTTAATTTCGGTTGTTGTAGCACAACCCACGCACTGGAATACCCAGGCACAACAGAGGGTGAACTGACTATACAGTATTAACGTCTGAGTCTGAATTCACTCGGTTCGGTGGGTTTAAATTACGCCCATGGCATTGTATTAAAAGAGAATGTTTTGGGTTAATACAGACTTGCGTGTAGAGCTGGCTTTAAGCACAAAAAAAGCTAGCGACCACTTGGGGTCCACTCTTCTGGGGGCCTTAAGAAAATTTGCAACTGGCAGGCCAGCTTGACTTCTCCTGGCGGAGAGCTAGGAGAGGAGGACACTCTGATCTGATAGGTTTCAGAGTAGTAGCCGTGTTAGTCTGTATTTGCACAAAGAAAAGGAGGACTTGTGGCACCTTAGAGACTAACAAATTTATTTGAGCATAAGCTTTCGTGAGCTACAGATCACTTCATCGGATGCATCTGATAGTGATCTGTTTTGGCAACTTGTGGCTCTTTAGGTACTATAAGGCCAGCCCTGTCTGGCAAACACTTTGTCATTTACAAAGGGGTGTTACTAATTAAACTGATCAAAGAACCAATTTTGAAAAGGAATTTTAAAAAATGCAAAACCTGAGATTTTTAAAATAATTGTCCATGATTTAAATCTGACTGCAATTCATTGTAATTCTCCCCACCACAAAAACTCCACTACGGTCACAAGTCAACCTGACTCCCCTGGGTGCTTCAGTTTAAAACATGCAACCAGAAAAGACATTAGGCTGATTGCTCTACAAACAAAAGCTGGTGAATATTTTACCCTGAGCCAGGACTCGGAAAGGTAAATTGTTACATTGCCAACACCACCTCAAAAATGTGAACTGAGTGTAAATGATGGAGAGATGAGTCTGCAGACTGCCTGGAATGATAGCTTGGACAGGTGTGAATTGTCCATCTAGCCCGGTATCCTGTCTCCCGATAGTGGCCGGTACCAGATGCTTCAGAGGGAGTGAACAGAACAGGGCACTTAGAGTGATCCATCTTCTGTTGTCCAGCCCCAGCTTCTAGCAGTCAGAGGTTTAGGGACACCCAGAGCATTGGGATTGCATCCCTGACCATCTTGGCTAACAGCTATTGATGGACCTATTCAACTTTTCTAACTCTTTTTTGAACCCAGTCATACTTTTGGCCTTCAGAACATCCTCTGACAACAAGTTCCACAGGTTAACTGTGCACTGGGTGCAGAAATACTGCTTTATGTTGTTTTAAACCTGCTGCCTATTAATTTCATTGGGTGACCCCTGGTTCGTGTGAGATGTGAAGGGGTAAATAATACTTCCTTATTCACTTTCTCCGCACCATTGATGATTTTATAGACCTTGATTATCTCTCCCCTCAGTCGTCTCTTTTCCAAGATGAACAGTCCCAGGCTTTTTAATCTCTCCTCACATAAAAGCTGTTCCATCCCCCTCATTGTTTTTGTTGCTCTTCTCTGTACTTTTCCCAATTTTTATATATCTTTCTTTGAGATGGGGTGACCAGAATTACACGTGGTATTCAAGGTGTGAGTGTACCATGGATTTATTTTGTGGCACTAGGATATGTTCTGTCTTATCTATCCCTTTCCTAATGGTTCCTAACGTTGTTTTTTTTTGATGGCTGCTGCACTTTAAGCAGATGTTTTGCAGAGAACGATCCACAATGATTCAAAGATATTTTTCTTAAGTAGTAACAGCTAATTTAGACCCCATCATTTTGAATGTATAGTTTGGATTATGTTTTCCAATACGCATTACTTTGAATTTCATCTACCATTTTGTTGCAGTCTCCCAGTTTTGTGAGATCATTTTGTAACTCTTCGCAGTCTGCTTTGGACTTAACTATCTTGAGTAATTTAGTATCGTCTACAAACTTTGCCATCACACTGTTTGTTTCTTTTTCAATAACATTACTACGCTGGTAAAAGCCTAGTCTAGCTACAGTTTGCTAAACTGGAATAAGCTATACCAGTAAACACTTTTATACTGGGATAATTGTATCTACGCTGGCGACAGGGAGTTAAAGCTGCAAACTCTTTAGGATAGACAAGGCCTCACTACTCTACTTGCTCCTAGGCAGAAGCTATAACATTCTTCATTTTAAATACTTTACTGAAACATAACTACAGACAAGACAACCCTTCACAGGCATGGAAAGCTTTAGCCAGTATAGTAGCATCTTAGGCACCAATGCTGTAACGTGACATGCAAGCTATGTACAGAAACGAGCCTGGCAATTCTTTGGTCCCAGAGTGAAAATAAGTAAGCAAACATACTTAAAAAACCCAAAACTACAACCATACAGCTACAACCTCACCGAATGAATTCGCAAGCAAGCTTCTGCAAGCCAGCTTTTGTTCCTTTTGCATTGTTCAACTGACCTTTTTTTTTTAGCAGTGGGTATGTAGCGCCACCTAGCGTCATCCTTCTATATGATAGCAAGCAGCTACCCTATATTACAGGCAGTATTTCCCTACAATAAGGGATGGACTCCACAGCTTTGCCACAGTTGCTAATATCGCAGAAATTTGTCCCCATTCATGGTTATAAATAAACCTGGCAGAATTCTATTTTTATTTTTTTAATATATAATTTTTATGAATAATTTCAATGTTTATTTTAAAGTGTTTTTCAACTTTCATCCATTTTAAATTTTCACAGCTGTGGGAAATTATAAAGGGGTTTAGACAATGGGAAGGCAGTTGATAGACTGACTAATGACAGAAGATGCTGAAGTTCAAAAAGTTAAAGCTTTATAACCATTAAAACACAAATGGTCAACATCATATGACAAACATATGCAAAGAAATATCTTTAAACAAAGCTTTTTCTTTCTTTGCCTATTTGTAAATTTCTATTTCTAATATATTTTCATTGGTTGGTGTGTATACAGCGAAATCGGCGTTTATTGACATTTACTCATAAAAATCTAATCCTTTCAAGCCTAGTTACAAAGCTACTTACCGCTGCTTCACATTATCAAAGTGCTTTAGAAACGTTAGCTGATCCAGCAGAATAGTATCTCCAGTCTGGATGTATGACATGCTGGAAAAGAGACTGTCAATTTGAAATCTAGTCTTTCCCTCCTCTTTTTCATAGTGTCTGAAGTCCCACACCTGCCCTTGAGTCCCTGCCAAATGTTGTGGTTTTACACACACACTCACTCACTCGCCTGATCTGTTTCAGCTAAGTGCCCTCAAATGCACAGCAAAATCCAACTGAAAAACTCCAGTTTTGTTCTCTTTAAAGATATACAGACTCCGTTTTTATCGTGAAATGATTTTTATAGTGGGGGCGCTGAAGGCAGAAACCATGTATTTGAGTGGTTGTTACTACATCAAGCCAAAGGGTGTGGCAGCAACCCTGGTTCCAGCACCCATGTACAGACTTAGTTTTTTATCTAAAAGAAAAACATAACCCCTGCCCTCAATTTAGACGGGAGTGTAATTTTTAAATAGTCTTTTTAAATATACAACAATATGAACATAGCAATTGTCACAGACTACAGATCTGTCTAATCCATTACCCTACCTTTGACTGTAGCCGTTACCACCACCTTCACAGGAAGCTGATGCAGTCAGATATGTTATAAACAACCGAGAAAGTTTCTTTCTAATCCCAATCAGACTGGTTTATTTCTGAAAGCATGAGGGGGTTTTATCCCTTCCAAAATTTGTGTTTTAAATCTGTATTATTTTCTATTGTAACTGTTATGGTAACTTTTTGACATTGACCTATTCTCTCCCATATATATTAGATAATTTTGCTTTCAAAATATTGCTCTCTGTCAGTACAAATAATGAAGCAATGAGAAAACTGGCTACCATATGTTCAGATGCTCTCTTCCTCTAGAGGCTGGAAGCATTTTGCAGATGAGCCAGTTTAAGGGTTTGGGGAGCAAGTAATTTCCAGCAGGTCACAGTTGCTAAAGACATAAGGCCTGAAAACAGTCTCAATTCTGTTTGATCCTTGAGTGGCTCTTGACTTACAGTGCTGTAACGACAGATGGTTGAGGTTGCTATGCCAGGACGTGACAGTGGAGTCCATGTGGGGGGAAGACTACTGCTTAACATCAACCACCAAACAGTTCCTTGTCACAGACCCTACTGCTTGCCCGTCTGGCTTCAACCTGCCATGTCATCAGGGGGACCTTCTTAACCGATTCCGGACTGGGCAACGCCTTCATGCAGCAACCAGCACCGTTGGGGTCTTGGAGACAATCCAAGCTGTGGCTGTGGTGCAGACTGAGCAAGAATATGCGTTGTCGAGGAGTGCCTGCTCACCAAATTCAGCAGTGAGCTCCACTGGGCCGCTAACAACGCTATTGCCTGGCAACTATGCAAATGCTAAATCAATCACTAAGTTCCTGATGCACAGCAGAGGGGAAGTGGAGCGACATTGCTTTAGTGGCTGATAGGCAAAAGAGCAAATACGGGGGACGGAGGAAGACTCCCGTCCCACTCAGGCTTTGCCTTCGCTACAAAAGGGTGATTTTTCCCAGCTGGAACAGGGTAGTGGAGTGGGTTGTTTTCCCCATGGAGCTAGGCGTGTTCAGCACTAGACCCCTTCCGCGTAAGCGGTCCCTAGCCGCAAAGACCCCCGTGCCTCGTCTCTGCTTGGAGTCACAGCAGGCTGGCTTCCCCGCCGCGGGTCGGCCGGGGTAAAGGATGCGCTTTTGGGGCTA